CCCCAAAACCCCAAAACCCCAAAACCCCAAAACCCCAAAACCCCTTTGCTTTATAAAGAAAGTGAAAGTTTGATAATAATTAAGTTTAAATTCATATCTACAAAAGATGTCCAGGTTCGCCAAGAAGGTCGGCCAGAAGTCCATGCGATTTCAGTTTGATGTCACAGTCAACTTTGTCGAAATCCACATTCCTATTGAAGCAAAGGTGTTCGTTATCTGGAAGCGAGGAGCTAAGAGGATTGAAACAAGAGGGAAAGTAGACATCACTCCAGATCACCCTAGGGGTGAACTCAATGAAACTATGTCTATGCTTGCTACTCTTTCAAAGGATACTGCCAAGGATAGGTATATTGAAAAGAACACTACCTTTACAGTTAAAGTTCTTACAGAAACAAAGATGAAAAGTATCGGAATGATCAAAATGAATCTGGCCAAGTTTGCTGAAAAGCCAGACCATGAGGAAGAATTTGTTCTCAGGAAATGCCCTGACAGAAATGCTATTATTAGCCTCACTATTAAAAATACTTTGATCCAAGCAGATTGTAAAGATGCAGATACCCTCAGTCAGATGACTGACCTGCGAAGTCTAGATTCTGCCCCTGATTCACACTTTGATTTTGAAGATCTTAAAAAGGACAGAGAGGAAGAATCAGCCCTTGAAAGAAATATAGACCCAATGAAGTTATTAGAAAGAGATTATGATAAGCAAAGAAAGGGACTTCCACCTGCTTTTGGTGCAGCCCAGATGAAAAACTTAAAATCAGATCAATTTTCATTACGAGGAAAGGCGGCTACTTCAACAATGGCATCCCTTCATGGAGGTCCCATCAAGATCAACAATAAATTAGAAGCCAAAGAGGATATTTCAGAGACTCCTGAGAAAATGGATGACTGCTCTATCACTTCTGAGGAAAATACTTTAGTTTCGAAGTCACCAAGAAGCCGAAAAATGAAAGGAATGCCTCAAATGGCAGATCTCAGTGAAGATAGCACTCAAAATGACAAGAAACCAAGAAAGATCAGTCGTGGGTCTATCAGAAAGATCAAACGGAAGAAGGATAAGGAAGATGGGAAAGAGACACTTCCAAGTTCAGCTTTCAGCTATAACCAACCCGAACAGTATGAAGAAGTAAAGAGAGATCTCAGTTCAAAATTCCAAAAAGAAGATTATGGTGGCAATGGCTCCCAGAATATTCAAATTATTGAAGAAGTCAAGGAACTCAGATCTAAGATAAGGAAGCTTGAGTATGAAAAAGAAGCCTTGAAAGAAGAAAGTATCAAGGTAAAGCAAAAATGTGCTGATGATATCAAAGCAGCTATGGAGGCAACTGGCTCTGATGACAAAAAGGCAGAATACTTACAACTTGAGTTAAGCGAAATCCAGACTACCAAAGATAAACTTGAGCTAAAGCTTAGCAAAAAGGATAATGAAATCAATAAAATGAACCGCAAATTAGAGGACAAAGACATAGATATCAAGCACATGAAGGATAAGAGGAACGAATTACAAGATAAAATAATCGAATCTGAGAACAAAACAAAGCAGCTATCCATTGAAATGAAGAACTTTAGAGAGCAAATTGGTCATTATGAGCAAGAGAATGTTTCTCTCAGAAATGAAATTTCCACATTAAACACTACTTACAATAGGCTTAAAGAGGAAAACCAGGAATCAAATTCGATGATCGAGAAGCTAAGATCACAGTTAGAGAACAAAAGGTCTAGTTTTAAAGATTCACCAACTGTTGATAACAGTGAATTTGAGGAATACAAAATAGCAACTGAGGCATTAATAGCTGACTCTAAAGACCAAATAAGAGAACTAGAGAAAAAGAATGAAGATCTTGCAAAAGATTACGATAGACTACTTCAAGAGAAAGAAGATGCTGATACTGAGTATTTTAAGAAGAGCCAGAAAGCAAATAAAGACATATCACTGCTCCAGCAGACAGAATCAAGCTTGAAGGCAACAATCACAGATTTAGAGAAGAGGGTTGACGATTTATTCCAAGAGAGGCTTGATAAGGAAAGAAGTGGTCTGGATTCTCACAGTGAGCTTGAAGGCAAATACAGAGCTCTTGAGTTACAGCTCTCTCAAAATGCCACTAAAATTAGAGATAAGGATGATAAGATCAGAACTCTAGAAAACAAGCTCACTCTTATAGAAGAGGATAAGCAATACATGATGTCTCAAGAGGAGCAGAAGCGTGATGAAATGAGAGATGACTTCAGATTTGAACTCGAAGAACTCAAGGATAAGGTAACACAGCTCGAGAACAAGAATGATCAGTTGCTCATTGAGAAAGATATCCTTCAGCAAAAGCTTGATAAAGAGGTGGATAGCAACTTTAACAATGATGATATTATGGAAGGAAATGAGAGACTTTTATCTCAGATAAAGAAACTTCAAAATCAGATTAATGAGAAGGACAATATGATTTTAGATTTGCAGAGTGAACCTAGATCTCAGGGAGCATCTGAGCCAAAGACATTCACCTCTTCGAGAAGGAAGAACGACTCTAACAGAGAGTTAGCAGAGATGAGCGTTGAAAACGAGTTCTTAAAGAACCAAGTTGAGGAACTTAACGAAAGACTTAAGGATCTACAAGGGTTTGGAAGAACTTCAGATAGCTCTGCATCTGATGGCTTTTATAATAATATCAAAGGAGATGGAAATCCTGATGATGTAATGAAGAAACTTAAGCAAGAAAATTCAACTCTGAGCACTGAACTTATAGAGATAAAGATAAAACATGCTGAATCTGACCAAGAAAGAAGTGCTATTCAGCTAAAATTGAAGGAAAGAAATGAAATACTAAAGAAACTTTCTTCTGAGATTACAAAATATGAATTTGAAATGGTTAAGGCAAAACAGTCTCTTGGTGAGGTCTTGAATCAAAACATCGAGCTTGACGAGTATAACTCAGAGTTGATTAGCACCATCGAAAAATTAAAAACTAAGAAGAAAAAGAAATAGCGATCTTGAGACGAGAGATAAGCAGATCACAGAGTTCTTCTATTAATTTATTTAACAATAATTGGTATTTTGTGATGCAAGAAAGAGGAGAATGTATTAACTCAAAATGATGTTTCAATTAATGTCAGTCTAAACGGGGTTTTGGGGTTTTGGGGTTTTGGGGTTTTGGGGTTTTGGGGTTTTGGGG